GTCTGGTGATGGGGAAATGATGGAAAACACAAACTTTTGTTTAATGAAGAGACCTTTCTGGCTTGATACAATTGCCATGCTTCCAGGATGGCTTTAAAACTTCACTCAATGATCTTACATTCCTGGACCTTTTATGTTTAATGAACCCAGATTAAAAGGAATGTGGAGTGGTTTTGTACCTCTTTTCTTTCTTCATTATGGTCTTTTAAAAAAGGAAAACATTTTTTTTTTAAAGAATGTATTGCCTGTATCTAATACATAGATTACAAAAAAAAACCTTTTAGTACAAATATAGACATTAACAAGTCTAAGGAGGACATGTTGTGACAATTCACAGGAAATGAGCAAAACATTTCAATATTCTTACTATTCCCACTTAGCAAAATACAATTTAAAATTGTCCTTTATATGTGTGAACATTGATGAGAGTGTAGGAGTTAAAAAGTTTAAAATATAAGTAAGATGAGCTCATCCACAGAAAATATGCTGAGTATTTCTTATATCAGAGAATGACAGCATTCACAAATCGCCACTGACAGGTTTTAACCTGCAAGTTACAGCACATGTCTTCCAAGAATCCTGAAATATTAACCTCTGAGGAATGAAGAAAGAAAGTCTTGTTGGCTTAAGTTTTATGTTGTCCGGGCATTAAATGGTACATGAAGAAAGTGCATCCTGGGTAACAGGAGGGTTACTTTATTCTTACACTACAACTATGATTTTCTCCTATATAAAATCAGTGATGATGTCATCAACAAGGCCATGATGTCATCTCTTATGCATGCATTTTGTGAACAGCTGTCCAAATACTACAGGCACCTGACAGGTTTGACAGATAACAATAGATTGCCCACAGTTCTCGTATTTAACTTACAAATATGGTTTAGTATTAGTACAATTTTTAGTAACAATATTATGTGATGAATTTTAAAGGCCCACAATTAAAAAAAATTGTAGTCTGCTAACTGTATGTTTTCAATATTTGTAATGATAGAATTTGGTAGCACAGTGGGTAAATGGTTAGCACTTTGGCCTAGTAGCATTAGGGACATTGATTTGACTTTTAACTATGGTACTGTCTGCCCAAAGACTGCATGTTCTCCCTGTGCCTGTGTGGGTTTCTTCCAGGTACTCTGGTTTCCTCCCACAGTCCAAAGACATGATGGTAGGTTAACTGGATCCTGTCTAAATTGGCCCTAGTATGTGTATGTATGAATGTAAGCTAGGGACCTTAGATTGTACGCCCCTTGAGGGTTAGGGACTGATGTGAATGTACAATATATATGTAAAGCACTGTGTAAATTGACGGCACTATATACGTACCTGTAATAATAATATATATCTTTCTTTTTTCACAAGCTTTCATTTATACATTTTGCATGCAGACCTGACCGTTACAGGTGGTCATTTTTTATTCAAAAGGTTTCAAAACCACTAATTTTATTTTTACTTTTTTTTTAGATGCCCATGCTGAGCATAAAAATTCAATTAGTTGCAATACTACACCTTCATCCAGTGCTGCCCCAGTATTGTCCACCTCCCTCTTCCAGTGTCTGCCCCCTTCTGGGTTGAATGGGAATGCAGTAGACTGCATAGAACGCTCATGGGACCAACTATATGACTCCTAGAAATAAGATTTTTTTTTTTAATACATTACATGGGTAGGAAGGGCACTCTAGGGGTAGCAGGGTGGTAGGACCTATTGTGTGTGGACTAGTGTTTGGGTTTCATTTTCTTTTTCCGCAGCAAAAAAAGGTAAGGTGAGAGCTATGAAACTAGATAAAATAAGAAGGATTTAAACTGAAAGTGGGAGAAAACAGAAGGTAAATGAGGGAAAAGTATATATTTTTGGACACGGGTAGGGAATGGAATAGGTGTAAGGAACTAAGAGAAAATGTTCCAACACCCCCTTTCATTTATGGCTCAGAAAAGGACTACATTTGTCTAAATTCAAAATGTATAGTACATGTTACAGTACTCAAAACAGGTCCATAACTGTCATGAAGCAAGCTAAGAACTAACTATTGCTTTCATTTATAGTTCCATGTAATGAGCAATGTGTTGTATATTGGAGGGAGTTACTGGGAAACACTCCTGTAGCTCCCTTATAGTTAAATTACCATCCGACCCCCATGCTCCCCTAATCATATTTATCTCGAAATAAACATACCATATATTAGGTTCATACATACTACACGGCTTAACCACTTCCCGTCTGGCCCATGTACATAAACGGCTGGACGGGAGCAGTGCAGGAGCGGGTGGCTGTTTATAAATGTCCCCCCGCATTCCCTGCCTGTACGCGCTCCCTGGGAGCGTGCAGCACCACTATCCAGTGCCCGCAGTGTCCGGAGGATTGCTGTACGGGACCTCTGTGTGAGGTCCCGATCATGTGATCACTGATTGGCCAATCAGTGATCACATGAATAGTAGTAAGCAAGATGTCACTTCCTGACATCATTGCTTACTACGTGGGAAATCTCTGAATGATCACAGTGGTCACATGGCACAAGGCTAGAAATTCTGAAGGACCCTCTGCACACTGGTATATACCCTTTTAAGCAGACTATGCAATAAATAAATATTTAGTTCACACATATTGCAATACATGCTTAAGCTGGCCAACTGCGTCAAAGTAATCCCTCTATGGCCAGTCCTACTCTGCTCTGCCTACGCAAATGCTACTGTGGACACAATGCTAGCATAGGGGAAAAGACACAATGGGGAGAGCTACAAGGTTCAGGTCTGGCTACTGACCCAACATTACAACAAACAAGAGATCCCTGTGCTCAAATCCCAACAGCTAGTGCATGCATTTATCCATCAGGTGCTAAAGGAGTGTAACCACATATTAACACTAGAAATTCTGAAGAACCCTCTGCACACTGGCACCCCATTGTGTCTTTTCCCCTATGCTAGCATTGTGTCCACAGTAGCATTTGCGTAGGCAGAGCAGAGTAGGACTGGCCATAGAGGGATTACTTTGACGCAGTTGGCCAGCTTAAGCATGTATTGCAATATGTGTGAACTAAATATCCCTATTTATTGCATAGTTTGCTTGAAGGGGTATATACCAGTGTGCAGAGGGTCCTCAGAATTTCTAGTGTTAATATGTGGTTACACCCCTTTAGCACCTGATGGATAAATGCATGCACTAGCTGCTGGGATTTGAGCACAGGGATCTCTTGTTTATGGTACAAGGCTATTCACAACAGCCTTGTACCATGTGACAAGCTGTGACCAATCACAGCTCTCACAGTATTTCTCAATGGCTGCAAGAATGCAGCTAGAGAGGAGAAATGATTGCTTTTACAGCCTTTATGAGTGTAAAAGCAATCAGTGTAAAAAAAAAAAACAAATCTTCATCACCCCCTCAAGTAGTACAGTGCCACTATGGTGACACTGTATTGCTAGGGTGACAGTATGTAAAAAACAAAAAAAACATAAATGATAATATTAAAAAAAAAAAAATGTACAAAATTTTTTTTTTAAAATATATTTTGTTAAACTAATTTGGGTTATTTTTTTTACTAAAAAGATAGCTGAATACAATTTGGCCAAGATTTATGAAGAAAGATTTATTTGCAAAATTTTATATAAGAAAAACACTTTTTTTCAAAATGTTTGGACTTTTTCATTTATATAGCATAAAAAAATAAAAATCCCAATGGTGAATAAATACCACCAAAATAAAGTTCTATCTGTCTTAAAAAAATGCTAAAAAATTAATATGGGTACAGTGTTGCATGACCGCGCAATTGTCATTCAAAGTGTGATAGCACTGAAAGCTGAAAATTGGCCTGGGCAGGAAGGAGGGTGAAAGTGTCCAGACTTGAAGTGGTTAAAGTATATGTAAACCCTCACCTTGTAAAAAACCCATACACCTAAATATAAATAAAAAGGTAAAACTTTTTGTGTATAGATATAAAAACATTCTAAATACAATTTTTTACCTTTTTTAGAAGTGATTACATACCCTCTGTTCTCAGCGCATAAGAGCTAGTGGAGGAGAAACTGAACTACACTGATCTTCCCAGTGAATGGCTGTGCAGGGGGGGGGAGGGGGGGTGTCAGCACAAATCTGATCAATCCTTGTTGCTGACCTTTGCTTTATTGAAGTACTGCCACCTTTTTCAGACTCCTGTGTCCCCCACTGCACTGTTCATTTCATTAGGCCCCATATTTGATATTGCTGCCCTAATAAAAACTATCCTTATTAGGATAGGAATGAAGAAGGAACGTATATATCTTTCATGTGGCACTTATTACACAGGCTGCAGAGATTCCCACCTAAAACCCCGTGCAGCATTAACTGGTTTGACTGATAATATTGGGTTTTCTATCCAAGCAAATGTATGTGTGTTATCAAACTCTAGCTGCATTCACTATGAATTCTGATACATGCAGATCAATTCGCCTATCCTTAAAGTGATTCTAAAGGTTTTGTTTTTTTTTTAAACAAAAAATGTCTATACTTACCTGCTGTGTGTAGTGGTTTTGCACAGAGCAGCCTGGATCCTCTTCTCTGGTCCCCCGCAGGCTCTCCTGGCGCATCCCTCCTGTCAGGTGCCCCCACAGCAAGCAGATTGCTATGGTGGCACCCGCTCCTCCGTTTTTTCCATTCACACATGGAGCCGTGACTCAGCCCTGCCCCCTCGCTCTTCTCATTGGCTCACTGGCTGTGATTGACAGCAGCGGGAGCCAATGGCTCCCGCTGCTGTCTCAGTCAATGAGAAGAGGGATTCCCGGGATAGCTGAGACTCCAGTGCACTTCGCTGGATCGAGAAGGGGCTTAGGTGAGTATTTGGGGGGCAGTGCTGCACACAGAAAAGTTTTTACCTTCATGCATAAAGGTAAAAAACCTTGAGCCTTTACAACCACTTTAACTGCTTCTCGACCACCCTATAGGAGATATACAGCTACAGGGCAGCAGGGGTGTGCAAAATCACGTATAAACAAGTGATTTTGTACTTCCGGGTAGGTGGCTCGTGCGTACACCCTACCTGCACTGCCATTCGCGGTTGCAGCTGTCAATCACCGGGTCCTGGGCAGTGATTATCCGATGGCGCCCAGTGATTACCAAGCATCTCCAATGGGGAAGAGGACTGTTTTGTTTACTAACACTTCTCCTCCCTGTCAGCTTGGGCACACTGCTCTGGATGGTTGTGCACAGCACAGCCATCCAGAGCAGTGTGCTTACAGTGAAGCACCAATACATCGCCCCCTAGTAAAACACTCCCTGCACACAGTTAACCTTTGATCGCCCCTCATGTTAACCCCTTCCTGCCCATTACCATTAGCACAGTGTCAGTGCTTTTTTTTTAGCACTGATCACTGTATTGGTGTCACTGGGGATGTCAGTGACACCAAGTCAGTTCCCCCCAGTGTCAGAATGTCCATCGCAGTCCCCCAGTCCCGCTATAAGTTGCTGATTGCCGCCATTGCTAGTATCAAAAAATTAAAAATGTTAAAAATCACAGTATATATCCCGCCATTTGTAAACGCTATAACTTTCAAGTAAACCAATTAATTTACACGTATTGGGATTTGTTTTTAGCAAAGACATGTAGCAGAATACATTTTGGCCCAAATTTATGATGAAATTAGATTTTTTAAATTTTTTCACTGGACATGTTTAATAGCAAAAAGTCAAAAATATTGTTTTTTTCTCAAAATTGTTGGACTTTTTTTATAGCGCAAAAAATAAAAGCCGCACAGGCAATCACATACCACCAAAAGAAAGCTCAATTCCTGGGAAAAAAAGGACGTAAATTTCATTTGGCTGCAGCATTGCATGACCGCACAATTGTCACCTAAAATAATACAACGCCATAACGCAAAAAATGGCCTGCTCAGGAAGGGGGGTAAATCCTCTGGAGGGCAAGGGGTTAAACTAGAACTATAAGCAATTTTTTTTATTTTTTTTAGTTTTGGAGAGAGTGGAGGTGGATTAGAACATCTGTCAGGTTTGTATTGCTTCACTCTATTTGTCCTGTTTACTATTATCATTGAAAGTGAAAATAAAAGAAAATCCCAATTTTTGGGTTATCCCCAGAACAGTAATAGAGGGAAAATTTTCCAATGGGGACTGGGGACACTGCATTTGGTGACCGGGGGGGGGGGGGGCCTAAGGGATTCCTTGAATTTGTAGGGATTTCCTTTCACCTCCTGTTTTGGCTATAGAACAGGAAGTGAAGGTAAATCTCCCCAATGGGACACTGATATAGTACAAAAAAAACAAAAAAACTTACAGGAGTTACTCTATCCAAAATGTTTTTTTTTATATTATTATTATTATTATTATTATACTGGATTTATATAGCGCCAACAGTTTTCTCAGCGCTTTACAATATAACGGTAGATACAGTGAGGAACAGAAGTATTTGAACCCCCTGCGATTTTGCAAGTTCTCCCATTTAGAAATCATGGAGGGGTCTGAAATTCACATTGTAGGTGCATTCCCACTCTGAGAGACAGAATTTAAAAAAAAAATTCAGGAAATCACATTGTATGATTTTTAAAGAATGTATTTGTCTTGCACTGCTGAACATAAGTATTTGAACACCTGAGAAAATCAGTGTTAATATTTGGTACAGAAGCCTTTGTTTGCAATTACAGAGGTCAAACATTTCCTGTAGTTCTTGACCAGGTTTGCACACACACTGCAACAGGGATTTTGGCCCACTCCTCCACACAGATCTCCTCTAGATCTGTCAGGTTTCGGGGCTGTCGCTGAACAACATGGAGTTTCAGCTCCCTCCAAAGATGTTCTATTGGATTTAGGTCTGGAGACTGGCTAGGCCACTCCAGAACCTTGATATGCTTCTTACGAAGCCACTCCTTGGTTATCCTGGCTGTGTGCTTCGGGTGGTTGTCATGTTGGAAGACCCAGCCACGACCCATCTTCAATGCTCTGACTGAGGAAAGGGGGTTGTTGCTCAAAATCTTACAATAAATGGCCCCATTCATCCTCTCATTAATACAGTGCAGTCGTCCTGTCCCCTTCGCAGAAAAGCACCCCCAAAGCATGATGTTACCACCCCCATGCTTCACAGTAGGGATGGCGTTCTTGGGATGCAACTCATCCTTCTTTTTCCTCCAAACACGACGAGTGAAGTTTAGACTAAAAAGTTCTACTTTGGTCTCATCTGACCACATGACTTTCTCCCATGCCTCCTCTGGATCATCCAGATGGTCATTGGCAAACCTCAGACGGGCCTGGACATGTGATGACTTGAGCAGGGGAACCTTCCGTGCAATGCATGATTTGAAACCATGACGGCGTAGTGTTCTACCGACAGTGACCTTTAAAACTGTGGTCCCAGCTCTCTTCATGTCATTGACCAGCTCCTCCCTTGTAGTTCTGGGCTGATTCCTCACCTTTCTTATCACCAGTGATACCGCATGAGGTGAGATCTTGCATGGAGCCCCAGTCCGAGGGAGACTGACAGTCGTCTTTAGCCTCTTCCATTTTCTAACATTTGCTCCAACATTTGATCTATTTTCACCAAGCTGCTTGGCAATTGCCTCGTAGGCCTTTCCAGCCTTGTGGAGGTCCACAATTTTGTCTCTGGTGTCTTTTGACAGCTCTTTGGTCTTGCCCATGGTAGTAGTTGGCATCTGACTGACTGTGGGGTGGACTGGTGTCTTTAAAGAGCTCAGACAGGTGCTACTAAGTTAGATTAATGAGTGGAGTAGAGGTGGACTTTTTAAAGGCACAGTAACAAGTCTTTGAGAGCCAGAATTCTTGCTGTTTCTTAGGTGTTCAAATACTTATGTTCAGCAGTGCAAGACAAATAAATTCTTTAAAAATCATACAATGTGATTTCCTGAATTTTTTTTTTAATTCTGTCTCTCAGAGTGGGAATGCACCTAAATGTGAATTTCAGACCCCTCCATGATTTCTAAGTGGGAGAACTTGCAAAATCGCAGGGTGTTCAAATACTTCTGTTCCTCACTGTAAGTTAGGGTCCTTAGATTGTACGCCCCTTGAGGGTTAGGGGGACTGATGTGAATGTACTACATATATGTAAAGTGCTGTGTAAATTGACAGCACTATGTAAGTACCTGAAATAAATAAATATTTTTGTAAGTGAGGTCTCCAGAACTGGACACAGTATTCTAAATGCGGTCTAACCGTAGCACCCCCCTGAACCCCAGAGGTATGGCGGACTGACATTTCACCTCAGAGGTAGTAGTGGGAGATGTAGACAGATGGGCTCCAGTCACATTTAGGTGAAATAAAAAGCATTTTATTATTCACAGTCCAAGGGGAGAGGGCTGCAGAAACTCAGGACTTCTCACTTCACATGGCACAACACAGGAAAAGATCCTGTAAGTCGAGACTGACACTCCTGTGTTAAAACTCTTTAGAAACCATCACCAGTAGCAAAAGCATCCTTTTTCTCCAGGAGAGACACCCAGCTCCCACACACGAGGTCTAAGCATAAAAGCCCTGCAGACACCTCCAGTAGGATCCTCCTCTGGGATCCTCTCCATCCTATTTCTAATCTTCTGCAAAAGAGAGTCAACCATCCTCCATGAGACTCCATCCTGCCTCCAGTAAAGATCAGCAGCACTAGGCCTCCAGACCTAATCACATCCAGGCCCCCTTAGGTAGGACAAGCCTAAAAAAGCAGCTCTATCACGTGCACCCACCCTAAGCCAGAGCCTGGGGGAAGAGAGCTTGCATTGGCCAACTATGAATATTGATACCCTTTCCCATATTGCACCACTGACATGGGAAACTCTTAGTGGCGGACTGAGAAACAATGAATATTCATAATCCATACCTACTATGTCATCTCTCACTAATACCAGAGGGGAGAGTGCTACCTACTGAAAAAAGGAAAAACTGACAACTAAGCTGGAATTCAAGGAAACTGAACAAACCAGACTACAACTTGGCATTGGTTGACTGCAGCCATTCAGAACTAAATGACACACCTGTTTAAAGGAGAAGTATAGCCAAGGTTCTTTTGACTATACTTCTAGGGATCACAGGAATGCAGTTCATTCTGTGCTCCTGTGACCCATTGTCAGCCAACAGCAGGCTAAAACCCACTGTGGGCCAATGTCACAGAGCTGGTTCAGGCTCTGAAGATCCCAACCATGTGGTTGGGATGCACCCAGACGCTTGGACCTGGCTCAGCCTCTCAGCGATCTGCTAAGAGCCAGAGCCAATCTTTCCTGTACCCTCTACAGCCCAGAGCTGAAATGACCACTGGAGGGGCAGAGCAGAGTGCCGACGACTGACAGTCACCAGCTCTCTGCTCACGGAACACTGAGCAGTGTTTGATCGCTCAGTTCTCAGTCTTAAGTCGGCAGAGGACAAATTCTGCATCCACCTAGGTGAGTATAATGTTTTGTTTTGCTTTTTTTATTTAACCCATACTTCTTTTTTAAGGCAAGGTGGCTACATAACTAAAGCCAGCTTGGCCCAAAGTGACATTAACCAAGAAATTCTACTTTAAGAGGAAACACAGAAAAACAGAAAAAACACAGAAAAACATAAAAACCCAGTGAAACTACCTGTTTGGAGCTGAACCCTCTACAGCAGGGGTCTTAAAACTTTTTAAACAGGGGGCCAGTTCACAGACCTTCACACTGTTGGGGGGCCAGACTATAGTTTGAAAAAAAGAGAACAAATTCCTATGAGCACCACACATATCTTATTTGTAGTGCAAAAAAACAGGAAAAAACAATACAATATTTAAAATGTACTGTACACTGTAACACACTGGACACCGCCATGTACTGTACACTGTAACACACTGGACACCGCCATGCACTGTACACTCTAAAGCACTGGACACCGCCATGCACTGTACTCTGTAACGCACTGGACATCGCCATGCACTGTACACTAATGCACTGGACACCTCCATGCACAGTACACTGTAACACACACTGGACACCGCCATGCACTGTACTCTAACGCACTGGACACTGCAATGCACTGTACGCTAACGCACTGGACACTGCAATGCACTGTACGCTAACGCACTGGACACTGCAATGCACTGTACACGGTAACGCACTGGACACCGCCATGTACTGTACACTGTAAACACTGGACACCGCCATGTACTGTACACTGTAACGTACTGGACACCGCCATGTACTGTACACTGTAACGTACTGGATACCGCCATGTACTGTACACTGTAACATACTGGATACCGCCATGTACTGTACACTGTAACACACTATACACTGCCATGCACTATTCTGTGTAACGCACTAGACACCGCAATGCACTGTACACTGTAACGCACTGGACACTGGCATGCACTGTACACTGTAATGCACTGGACACTGTCATGCACTGTACACTGTAACGCACTGGACACCACAATGCATTGTTGCTCCTCTGGCTGCAGCAGGTTAAATCAGGGACTTCCAGGCTGCCGCTCGCTGGGTCCTCGCGTC